AACAAGAAGTTGATTTTTTTACACCTTTTTCAACGCGAAAGTGCGTAGCGTCTTAATAAGTAAGCTTACGATAATTGTCAAAAGTCTAATAATTTCGTTCATTTAGACAAATATACAGACTCTTTTGGAAGTTAAGAATACAGATTACTATTAATCATAAATGCGAAATTGCATAATTATGTTTGTTTGTCTTCATTTCTCGCCGCAATACGCAACGCTTTTGAGATTATAATTTTTGTGTTAGAAGGGTTTTTTTGAGGGGAAAATCATCCAATGACTTCTCCCGCCCGGGCGAGGCGGGAGAGAGTGTCAGACTCTTACTGACTAAAAACCGCCCCATTCCTACTCCTGCACTTCGAGCCGGAGCCCCGGAAACCCGTTAGGTGTTCCGCGGCTCCGTATCGGCATCAGCCCTGTTAGGCCCCATCTGTGGTGGTCTGATGGCTCCTTGAGGCGCGCGCGAAACGCGACACGCCGTACGCTGAAGGGTTAAGGGTACCAAATATGAGCTACTTATTTTTCATTAATTAAGAAGGCAAAGCCGCAGACGAAAGCCACCATCTAATAAAGTAAGATCATTCAATAATATAGATAACGAACGATCCTAACGTACAAAAAATTGTACGGTCGCTTTTTAATTCTGAATTAATACATTTTGATTACATCTGGTCTTTTCTCAAAAAAATATGATTAGTATAATTTATGTAGGACTAGCTTAATGTCACATTTTTTATCTGATGGATAGTCTTTAGGATATGCTTGATGGCATTGAGATGTCCAGTGAATTTAAAAATGGTCACCCATCCACGGAACTACCTTGGTTAGTGCACTTTATCCATGTGCAATTAATTTATGCAGCTAAAGAAAATATATCGTCTCTGAAAATAAAATTATATTTTAAGTGTGACCAAACATTTTAAAGTCGGAAATGAATTTTCGAGTCACATATGTGGATAAAGTTGTCCTCAAAAACATTTGGCGACACGTCGTCAGCGTGCCAAAAGAACACAGCTTCGCCCCTTTTTAAAAATGCTCATCCGAATTATAAAAAGCTTCGCATAAAAACGGCATTTTTCTATGTCGGTACAGTCAACAAAAAGAAAATGGGTAATCCATTTTGACGGAACGCCAAAAAAATCCCAAGCACCCAGGCTGAGGGTTAAGTCAGGAGCGAAAGCGATATTTGATCTAATTAATTACCATCAATAATTATTATAATTTACATTTTATGCAAAATTATCAGCTCATAAGAATAAGAATTCCTTTCGATATTATTTAAAAAACTACTTTTAATATTAGTATAAATATATGTAGCAAAAACTACATCATAAACATAATTTATTCATTAAATTACGCATTTTCAAAAAAAAAACATACATTAGAATGCATTCACTGAATCGCAGCTTACATTTAATAAAATCACATTTTTTTTGTTCCACGCGGTACATACAACCTTGATAAGACTAAAAAAAAGTTACTCGTGTATTCGATGACGTAAAACGCTTCAGTTGACATCGTAGACAGCTTGATCAAATCTCTAACGTCACACTTATCAAAATTGATTGAATGGATCATTATGTACTGTTACTTTGATCCATCGACACGAACTAGTCCCGATTTTGGGCCGCAATGATCCATTTAACGAACGAATGAATCTTGAGCTACGATTATGATATTGAAATGTGACTGATGTATGAAGTTTGATCGTGTTGATGATTTCTGTATATCTACCACTAATGTAAGTTTTTAAGTGAGACATAAGACCTGTTTTTGAGGCACTTATCAAAATGTATTATCGTTAACAAGGTGCAAATCAAAAACCTAATTTAAGAAACACAACTCATATTGGAAAAACGATCTCCAAACTCAATTCAGACAATAACGCGACTATAAATTATTACAAGAATAGGAATTAAAATAAAACTTGATTCTTGAAAATCTGATATCCATTTTAAAATTTCCAATTTTATTGCCCACCTACATAATTTACGAAGATATTAATAAGTAATGATTTCATTTAAGAAAAAAATCTTACAAAAACGAACAACATAGAATCAAGAAAAATAATAAAACATTAATTATTATTTCTCATTAATTCAAACACAAACATGATTGCAATCATAATGCAAGTCAACCCCAAATACAAAATGACTGACATTATAATTTAAGAAATGCATCAAGATTCAGGTCATTTCGTGATGTGTTACCGATAAGCAAGCCACTGTCGCAACAACTTCTTGTTTTGATAAAGGCTGGCTTCTGGATTTTGGTGTTGAGGCACAAATAACGTATGGTCTTTGAGATAAGAATAAGCTGTATAAGGATAAATATTAAATCATCTTCACATTCAAGTACTGTGTCACAGTAGTAGGGACATAATTTAAAACGTCAGAGTGGCTTAAATGCAACTTAGTTATTAATATTTCTTCTTCCTTATTATGGATTTTTATCAAGAAAGCTTCGTTATTTTAGTCTCAGCCAAACTACTAATTACCTGTTGCTGTATGTTTCTGTATATGTAAATTCACATCATTGTGCCATTATACAAATATTATGAGGTAAGAACTAAATTTTTGTTAATGTACTTATGTCTTCTTACAGAGCAATATTTTTTCCAAATTTTTCTCCACACTAAATTTTACTCCTGTGTCGTGGGTGCGTTTAAAAATATACAAGTATACATACACATGACACCCAGACCCGAAACAACAATTTGTGGATCACATAATGAATCGAATCCGCGACATGTTGCGCGGCAGCCGGTTGCCCAGCCACCGTACTAAATGTGCCGCTGATTTATGGCATAATTTTGTGAAAGTTTAAAGAAGGTCTATTTCTAAATTAAACAACATAAAACAACTGTGGACTTCACTGTATGCAACCTAGCATTCGCTTCTGTGGGTATAAGAACGCATCGGTACAAGTATTCACCATAAAATATGGTCCTTAAGACCGCTCGGAGTTACACGCTTGAACACTTTCATTTAAAGCTGCGGTGACACGGGATATATACTGGCAATGCTTTATGTCGAACACTCTCCTCCTTAGGTTCCTACGTTTAAACTAGCGATAAATCGAGAACACGTCTCACACTTACAGTATTCTAGAACAAAGTATCTCAAAATGTAGGTTACATTTTACACGTGTCTACAGGAAAGAGTAAAATATTATGCTTATTATACCGAAAGTATAATTCACAAATGTGATTTAAAGTTGTATGTACCTACAATTCTCAATTTTTGTATAGAGATGCGTCACAATCAGCATCATATTTTAAAAATGTCAGTCTCTCGGTTGGTCCCTCTAGAGCAGCTATTTGTTCGTTACAAGGTATGGATTCTTACGGAGAAGAACGAGCAAAAAACTCCGTAGTTCCTTTTTTAATTTCTAGGCTGCATTGTTTCGTTGTTTCAATAATGTGAGAACAACGCATCATCAATGCTATCTCCTTTCTTAATTGTTCCAACAAGAATAAGACCCAAGTATATATTTGCTTAATTAATTAATTAACTATTAATCACAGCCCGCTACCGCTTATGACTTACGCCACGTATTTAATTGTTCGTTTCGTGTTACAGTTAGTAACTGTACCGCCACAGTTTCGGTTCGTCTGGTTTTTTTTTAATTACCAGGTCCACCGTCCACGCGAAGACATTGCATCGTGGATCCAATTTTTTTTTTAAATAATCTTAAAATTAATTAATGTACTTGTGATGATGGTGTTGACTGTACTTTTTTAAATATAAGTTCCTTGTTGGGACAGGCAGTGGGTAATTTGTCTACTGGCATACTTTGCTTAATTCAGTAATATTTCAGTATTCCAATTTATCGCTGACTTAGATAAGTTTCGTAAATTTTTGTAATCGTCTTTTTGTCAGCAAGCGACCTTATACGAAAAATACTGACTCCATATACATATTACTGTGGATAACAAAATATTACTGTGGATAAATTTGTTAATTTTCTTGTTAATTTATTTATTTTATTAATTAATTAATGTTAATAAATGGAAAAATTTGCTAATTTTCTATGATTGTTGATATCTATGAAGTTGATTCCCTAATCAATTCTAAAACCTTGTGTTTGGCATTCCCAACCAATACACTAATCGCGACAAAACAATTTCACAAAAATCTAATTCGCTCTGAACGTCCAAAAAACCCTTTATTATTTAGACATAGGACATAGAAAGGACAAGAAACGTTTGTTTCAAATAATACGAAAGCTACAGCCTACACAAACATGTTTTTGCCTCTCCATCTGTTACTAAATCCCAAATGAAAACAGACAATACAGTATAAATTATTCCACCTAATCTGTCAGACTAAAAGGTTCTAAAATAGTACTCAAAATGTTCTAGAGAACAACTGTTTATATTGACAAATGACCTAGTACTCTAATTTGAGTCTAGACTGGTCTAATTAGTGGCTCAATCTACGCCTATCTTATTTATGTACACAATTTATTCCAGGTTTTTTCGCAGTCCTTTGAGACTAGACTAGGTTTTAAGTCATAAGTAACTTTTTAAAATAAATTAAGACTAATAAATTTATTATCTGTCTTGTTCGTCGGCCGAGTAGTTAACAAGTGCGGCTGTCGAATAAAAGTGTAGAATTTCCGGATCTGGTAAACTATAATAAGGGTTTTTCAACAAACCTCAGCACTTGATAAACGATGTAATTTCGAAAAAGCCAATAATTATGTATTCCCATCACCAGCGACTGCTCGACTACATGAAAACAATCTACACAATATAATTAGAATATTGAAACTTTCGTTAGACATACTAAATAAATTATTATGTTTTCGGCTTACTCACGTACTAATTTGACGAGGAACTCGACTAGTTTCAGTAGCAGCGCGCCAGTCGCTGCGTCGCGGGTCGTGAAATGCTGCTCATGAATATGAGCCTCTAGCATGACTTGAAACTAGTCGAGTTCCTCGAAAACAATAATTTAATTAGAACATTGTAAAAAAATATTTCCTTCCTATTTTTTCAGATACACACGATGTCTCAAAACTGCAAAGCTTCTTACGCTGCGGCGACCACTCGGGACGCAAATAATAACACGCTGTATCATGGAGGAACTGGACAAGGATTCGGAGGGAGGAGCTATGGTCCTCCTGGTGTCACCACGAAAGCCACTGTAAGAATTTCTATCGTCATCATTATCAACAGGTGACCGTCCTGCTGGACGGAGCCTTCTTCACTTATTAGGAGTTTTCAGTAATAGCTACACTTGGTAGGCAAGCTGGAGAACTTGGAAATCGTAGTCCAAATAGATCCGGATTCGACAATTCCCACGACAAGAGTAGGACTGACAAAAGTATAACCTGAGTGTCGTTAAGGCCCGAGTGAATAGGTTGCTTAAGAGACGACGTGCTCCATCGTAGACCGCATCATCGCTTACCACCAGGCGAGATAGCGGTCAAACGACTGCCTCGTTGACCGAGTGGTCGCAAGTGCGACTGCCAGGCAAGGGTTCGATTCCCGGGTCGGGCAAAGTATTACTGAGTTTAAAAAAAAATCTCAGTAGTAGCACGGAGTCTGGAATTGTGCCCTATATTTGGCAATAGGCTCACCCTCTATTACATGTGACTCATAACATAAATAATGAAAAGTGGGTGTTACATTGTACAGTGGCATAATGTGCACCTCTGCCTACCCCTTCGGGGATAAAAGGCATGATGTTATGATATGTAACTATTCTAATCTGTCGTCGTGACTCGGAATTCAAAACTCATAAGTCTATATATTGATATCTACCAAATTAAATAAAATCGAGGCTAAAATTCCATAGAACTAATTTTGAACTACTCGACCTAAAAGACAGGCAAAATAATATACCATATAAAACTTCAGTAAAATTACTCGCTCAATAACATTCATGTAGTAACAAGAAATAATAAATACATAGATATATATATTTCATACATAATGTATGGAATGTCTGAGTAAGTTGCGAAGTCAGTTCGTCTATGTACGGATGTTCGCTTCACTGAGTAATTGTAACACATATAAAGTAGATATACTATTTATGTTCTGTATATTTCAAGAGGTAAATTATTATTGTATATTGATTGCCTGCTTGACTTAGGGCCGATTTTTCCAACGCCATATAAGTTATAATATTATATAAAGCGGAAGAGTTTGTTTTTTTGTTTGTTTGTTTGTTTGAACGCGCTAATCTCCGTAACTACAAGTCTGATTTGAATAATTCTTTTTGTGTCTGATAGCGCATTTATCGAGGATGGCTATAGGCTATAAAACATCACGCTACGACCAATAGGAGCTAAACAGAGCGTGTGAAACCGCGCAGAAGTAGCTAATTTTGTATATTTGACAATTCTACCATAGGATACGAACTTCCAAACGACAATTTTTATTCTAAATTTTAGAATTATCTGATGGTTGGAAAAATTAAAATAGTTGTTGAAATGGGTACTGCTAAATAAATGATCTTGCTTAATATTCTTATCATCTTCACCATCATCTGTCTATGATAGTTCACTAGTGGACTATTGGGTCTCATCTACACATGAATATTTGCCATGATCCCCACAATTGGTAAACGGGTTCCATACAAAAATGAACTGCCTTAAGAAATAGCCAATTTTGATAATTTTGGATGATACAGTAACAAGCCTTTCGGTTAAGTACTTTCAATTATTACACGCAGCTATAAACCATTCCGCGCGCGCCTCAAAGAGCCATCGGACCACCACGGATGGGGCTCAATAGGGCTGATGCTGATTCAGAGCCGCGGAGAACCTAACGGGTTACTGAGGCTCCGGCTCGAAATGCAGGAGTAAGAACGGGGTGGTTTTTAGTCAGTAAGAGTCTAATACTCCCTCCCGCTTCACCCAGGCGGGAGAAGTCAATCGATGATATTCCCTCCTAAGAAAGCTATAAAACATTATATTCAGAAATTAAACTGGAGGAAGAGTTCCCATAAGTGCAGGAAAAATATATTGGTCATTCCATAAAAGTCATAAAAGAGATTACCCAGAAGTAATAACAAAAGAAAAAGAAACAATAAATAAAACTCGTTTATCGCTATAACAGTACAATTGCATAAAATCCAAAATTTTAATCACTACTTGGAAAGTCGGTCAAAAATGTGTAACAACATTTTTATTGAAGCAAAGAAATGATCCAGATTCCGTAATTTTTATTTGCGCTGGCGCTGTACACGTGTAGATGTGGCTATATGGCTACACGGCTACATGGCCATACAGCCAAAGATTATAATTATCGAATGTGGAGCACTGAGCACCCGATGTCGATCGGCCACTTAATACAACTGTTAAGGCCAAGTTTTTGGGTCGAAATAACGAGTGCACTTAAATATGGAGGACTTTTTCATTGTCATTGTTTTGTACTTTATATTATTGCTTTATATGCCTAACTATATACGAAATAATATATATGTCGTGGTGGCCCAGAGGTTAAGACGCCCGCTTCTCATGCATGAGGGTGCGGGTTCGAATGCTACCAACAGCAAGTACCAATGTGACTTTTCCGAGTTATATAGTTATGTACTTTCTAAGATTATTTAGACAACACTGGCAAACGGTGAAGGAAAACATTATGAGGAAACCTGGACTTATAATTTCTAATTATTAGTTTCAAATCGGCAACCCGCAATGAGCAAGCGTGGTGATTAATGCTCAAACCTTCTCCGTGTGAGAATAGGCTTTGCTCAGCAGTGGGCAATTATAGGCTGTTGATACACGAAAAAAAAAACCGTCGTTATTCGTCTTGGATCAATATAATTGGCAAATATTGTGTATATTTCTTTACTAGCTTCTGCCCGCGGCATCACCCACATCCCCATGAGATAAAAAGTAGCCTATTTGTTATTCCTAACCATAATCTAGTCCTCTTCCAAATTTCACCACAATCCCTTCAGCCCATTTAACGTGATTGAGTAACGAACATACACACAAAAACTTTCATATCTATAAAAAATATTATCTTTAATATCAGTAAGAGAAAGAAAGAAAAAGAATTAAATAATTATGTCAATTGGAATGAAAAATCTATTAGTGTTTCCGTATCAATCAATCACAATCTAAATGAAGACACCAAAATAGCGATATAAGGTATCGCTATTTTGGTGTCTTCATTTAGATTGTACCGACCCTTCAGGAAATAACAAGCACAAGTAAACGACCCAGAACCACCACAGCAAACATAACAAAAATAATCCAGAAATAGCAATTAATCACCGACTAAATACTCCCACACTAATTACTATAAAACGAAAATAGTTTCGGTACACCGTAAAATCGATACTCACCTTAACAGACCTTCCTCAGTGGGACACAATGATAATGGTGTGCCTAATTGCGGCCGTTCGTTTCGACACGATCCAATTTCCAGCACTTGGAGTCTTTTTGGTGAAATTTTTGATCCGGAATTCAGCTGTTTAATGATGGGTAGGGACTGGATATGAATACGATAACTACATGACAATTTCATAATTATGTAGCGAACTTATTTTATTAAAAAAGTTTTGTTAATACTTGATGAGGTAATTAATACTTATAGATGTACCACTATATTAGCATCAGCTTCCTTCACAATATTTTTGGTGACCTAAGTATGATCCCGAACTTGCTAACCAAACATGGCGCTTATGACAAACCCTTTTTTAAAAGATTTTTTTGAGTTGTATTGGAAATTGTTTTGAGTAAACTTCTTCTTCTTCTTATAGTGCCTCTTCAATGTTGAGTAAACTAATCCCAGCTAATAATGATATATTATAATAAAAAAAAATGTATGACAAGGGCACGGACCTAGAGTGCGTGGAGAATTAATCTGAAATATTATAAAAAAAAAATAATGATGTGTCTGATAATGAGAATGTCTAGTCTACCTATTTGTATTGGACAAACAATTTTCTAATCACTATTTTCCACAATATCATTTAATTACAATGTCTATGCACTTTTGCTAGCCCTAAAACTCTTTCCATCTCCCAAGACTTCGAAACAAAATATCATGCTTAAAGTCGCAATTGGAAAACTTGACCAACAATACCATCAAGTATATTATAGAATCTATCTAGACCAGTCTACTTAAGAAGGCTTACTTAGGGTCATACATGCCATTGAGGAGTAGAAACTCTTCAGATAGCCATAGATGGCATCGTCCACTTTCCACCATACCGGCTACTTTCGATCTGGTTAGCTTTCCTGGCTATTCATCTACCTGTATTTAAATACAGGTATTACTTAGCTCCCATAATTTTCTAAAACGAGTTCGAATACAGAGACGGTTTTTCACTCAAAATAGTTTTTTTTTTAATTCTTACTGCTAATTCGGAAGATATTTTTATAAAAATAAAGTTATTAGTGCAAGCAATCACAAAGATCTTAGAGATTTTATTACCACTAGTTACACCTTTTAACGACCTCACCTAAGTGGTTCCCGTAATACTGCATTTAACCATAGAAATTTCCTCGACTTGAGATATTGAAAGTAATAATAACAATTGTTTCAACTCGATAAATTATAACAAAAACCTTTTTATACATAATCTAGAACTCTAAGCCAAAGAAAACTCTTGTCCCATCCATAAACCCTTTAAAACTAAGGAGGTACTTATCGCATTTAAAGTAACCATAACCATTAATTATTATCCGTAGCTTAGGAACTTGGAACCTAGCCAGGACACATCGCCATCACCTATCTTCGCCTACAAACAAATTAACATTTGAAATCTAATTAATAGTCTAATACACAGTTAGGCGTATAAAAAAATGTCCAAGAGTCTAATCGATCAATTCGCAATAGATAATTATAAGGAAACATTTGTGTTTTTGCAGCAAATGACAGCGAAAGTGCTTTTCGGAGGATCGACGATCAACGACCTCACCAAAAGGCAAGAGAAGACGGAGCGGGAAGTGCGGCGGACACATTAGCGACATCTAGACTCAGGTGTGTGAAATTTTTATGTTATAGTTTACTCTTTTGTTGCATAGATGGCGTGAAGAGATAGAAAGAAGTAACTAGCTTTTAAGCTTTTTGAATTTTGTGTTCGCCTGTAGATGGCGTTATGAGTATTTTATATAAAAGTCATTAAGGCGAATACGACATATAATATACGCTTAAAATAATAAAAGTGAATGTAAATATCGTTAACTTTTTTGCTTAGTCGCTTTAATTGATTATTTGAACAAATTCAACTACTACAAACAAGATTTTGGGTTCGATTCCCGTTCCTGAACAATGAGTGTTTTTAAAAACACATGTGTTATTAAAAAGTCAACTCATCATTTTAAAGAATATTTTTGTGTTACATCACACGCTTTAATAAATACACTTCAATAAACTTTGTTTTTTTTTTATTTCAGGCGCTGTATATGTGATAAGAAAGTCTTGGAAGCTAAGGAGTGATCTCGGAAGACAGAATTAATGTCCATAATAAATATTTTTATATACATTTTGTATTGCTAATAAGAAATTATCAATATTTACACGTATCACTGATTCTAGAACATTTTGCAGTAATTCTTAAGTCTTCTTAAAAGTCTTGGTCGATTGCTTTGTCGAGCTAAAGTATTTTTGGATATTATAAAATACTACAGTTGCGAACAGTCAATAATACAAGGTGTACCTCATTACACTATGGGGCTCCTAATAAAAATAGTAAAAACGCTTTGTTATCTTTCATAAGCACCTCTGGCTAACCGGGAATAAAATTAAATACGTCATATATTATAGAACAGCGACATCTAGGTTCAGTGTTAAGTGTCAAATTTATTAATTTTAGATAAGGTACTGTTACACTTGGTCTAAAACAGCATGCTATAAAAAATTGAACGCTTGTCGATTCAAAGTCAAAGTCAAAATTCCAACACATGCTACTAAGTGGCAAATGCTCAATTGAAGCATGCTTTCGTACTTGAAATAAGCATGGTGTAACAGTATCTATAGTTTTAAAAAGAGATTGTATATTAAGAGAACCCATAAAGGCCATTACAAGATCATTGTTTCCTAAATACCCGCCTCCTTATGAAATTTTATCGAAATTTAATAAAAAAATATATTTTTATATTATTATTATTATCATTTTAGATTTTAATACATTCCTTGTTACTTAACTCTAAGAATTTTATTCTAAATGTTCAATGTTGATATCCTTTTTGCAACAAAAATGTTATTGTTAAAACAGAGAGATTAACTACATTTTATTAATTTTGGATAATGAAACTTTTGTTCTATAAAATACTTATACTAGAATATTGAAAAAAGAACAACGGAGGCTTTACAAGAATGTTTATTTATTTAAAAATAACAAAATAAATAAATATTACAAGAATAAATAAATGCAAAAATAATTAAGTTACATTTATTTTTAGCTATACTTAAATAAGTAATAATAAAATAAACACAACAACATTTTGTTGATAATGTCACAACACATATCTGTGATCTGTTGTTTTTTAAGAGATTTTATATTTTAATTATTTTAATATCTAATTTAGATTTTATTTTTGTACGTACTAACTAAAGTGGACCAATTTTCAATAAATTATAAACACCATGTATGTTTTAGACTCCTGGTTGTAAATACAACTACCGAGCTTGATATCGTAGGTTCGATCCTCTTGAACATATAATTTAATTGGAAAATAAATATTAACATTGTAAAAGGAAAAATTCAATTCAATTGTTAAACCAAATCATAACTGTTAAAATTTCTATGGGTTTAATAAAATAATTAGGTACAGTGACAGTGCCTATCAGATCAAACTACTCAATAGTGTCAAATTTATTCATAGGATTTTCGACTTTATGTTCAATAACATAAAGTTAAAGATGTAATTGAGTAATTTGACAGAATAGGATAGGTTGGCTTGCTAGCCATCGTATCAACATTACCAAGCAGATGCACCTCTACCTACCCTTAAAATTACTGATAGTAAAGTGCATGATCAAGCTTCCAGTAAGTGTTTTACATATATTGAGGTTATAGACACTACAAAATCACGGATAACTCCCGTAAAACAAAATAAATCTAAAACCGACAGAGAGCTGAAGGACACAAAAACACCTGAAGCGTATCTAAACGCATTAGTTTCAGTAAAATCGTAAAAAAACTTAACTTGGTCGTCAATTTGCAATGAGATTGAAGTAAAAACTAGTCGTACTGATTCAGAACAACTTTGATACCAATAAGTAACTAGAGGACCGCTATAAAACGTTTGGTTGAAACAAAACGAGGAGAGGTACTGTTTTTAAACATATTATAAAGACTTTTGTAGACTGCCTCGTTGGCCGAGTGGTCGCAAGTGCGACCACTCGGCCATCGATTCCCGGGTCGGGCAAAGTATTACTGGGTTTTAAAAAAAATCTCAGTAGTAGCATGGAGTCTGGAAATGTGCCCGGTATATGGCAATAGGCTCATCCCTTATGATATGGGACTCATAACATAAATAGTGAAAAGTGGGTGCTACTTCTGTGTGCACCTCTGCCTACCCTTTCGGGGATAAAAGGCGTGATGTTATGTTATGTTATGTTTTGTAGACAAGTGAGTCAGTTGGCCATTGCACGAATGGCATTATAATGTTTTACTAATTTTATTTCTTTTGTTAATAAAACGTTACCCCACACTACCACTTTCTCCTGTGTCGTCGTCCATACAAGTTCACATACACATGACACCCAGACCCGGAACAACAATTTGTGGATCACACAAAGAGTTGCTCCATGCGGGAATCGAAACCGCGACACGTTGCGTGGCAGCCGGTTGCCCAGCCACTGCACTAACCGTGTTGTCATCTCAATCTAGAATTGATAAGTCAAAAGATTTTTTAGTTTATGTATTTGAACATGCTAATTTCCAAAACTACTGTTTCGAATTGAATGATTCTTTTAAAACACCACGCTCAAATCAATAGGAGCTGAGGATGAAATCGCATGAGAGAAGCCTATTGGTAAAACAAAAAAAAATATGTTAACCGCAAAGCAGCTACTATAATAGATAAACCATTAATTTTCAAACCTGACGTAACAAGTTATATCTTTAAAATAAGTAATTAAACTAACATCGAAGAGGACGTTTTTAATATCCATAAATATAGTGAGACACTTGCAACACTAGATCATAATATTCAGTCAGGCAGACGACTACCTATACAAACAGGCATACCTAGATACATTGCATACCTTGATAGTATAAACCTAAGTGAATATAATAGTATAGAAAACTTTACTTTAATTTAGTGCTCACTTTAATATAGTTGCCTTCATCACCTACCAACCAATTTCTGTACACTTCTAGGCATATACCTTTCCAAGTTCCTACACTGAGCTCGAACTAGTACTGCATGGCCACCCAATACCAGCCACTTTGTAGATAGATCACTAATATTTACTTCCAACTTACCCTAAAATATTAGTTTTGCACACATCCCAGAAAGCGTTAACTTATCAAAATCTATAATAGACAATAATAATATAAACAGTCTAAAAGAGGAACGTGATCTATACATATGTGTGAAGACAAGATAAATTGAAACTGACAAAAAATATATAACAATTGATTAATAGTCTGCTATCAATTTATTTCCTTTTTTTGTCCAAGCGTACAAATTTCAGACTGAATACGAGATGATTCATAGCTTTTGTCGTATTGGCGAAATCTGTTTTGGGAATCAATATCACGTTCGTATTCTCTGGTAGGTAGAGGTGTAATAGACGAAAATACAGGTGGGAATGACTCGTACAATGAGTTTGGCCATTCCTCATCATCGACAACAGCTTCTGTCAATCTAATTTTGGACGTGAGAGGGTTTACCTCCACACTTGAAAGGCGTGGTGAAGATCGTAATTTTAAATGTTCAGACAATATATCAGAGACCATTGCTACCCAGTCTCTGATAGTAGATTCTTATATGAACCCTGTGGTAGGATAGGGATTACTGCTAGGCCCAAGTACTGAACCTATTAAACTTTGATGTCAAGCTCTGGAGAGTAAAAATTTTGAAGTTTCTTATTGAACGCTTAAATAGATATTTTACGTGATTGAGATTATAAAGAGGCATCATAGAATGTGAAGTGCAGATTATACTTAAGGATGAAACTACTAATGCCAGTGTTATAGAGAATTATTTTTAATTTTTGTACTTTTTTTAGAAATTAAATAACATTGTTTATGAATTTTGGTTTCATTTTCTTTCTATTTATTTTTAAGCATAAACGCTATTCCTGACACCATGTTATTATGAGATCTGTCGAGGTCTCATCCTTGTCATAAAAACTCGTTGATCAGGTATTTGTAAATGTATATTATCTAGGAAAATTAAACGCATTTTCCTAACAAACGAAGAACACAGTTCCAAAAACCAAAGTCAAATATTTTTAGACTTCACTAAGACATTCAATACCTTCACCCGTATATGAATTAAGTACTTACTAATTAAATTAACTTATAAACCTGATGGCATTCATTTAACCACCATGATATCGTTACGGCATCAATTTGCAACCAACTAAACAGGTTAGGGTCATCTCTAGTTACCCACGTCACGTAGTGTCATACAGGTTGCGCAAGCGCACCTTGGTCGTTAATAGTTTACGTTGTGCACATATCAAAAACTGTTTTGTATTGTTGATTAGGAAAGGGTTTCCTTTTGTGATTGGACAAGGCTTTTACTGCGAACAAAAATTTTATTGATAACGTTGAGTAGAGGCTGTTTTGTATTTGTCAAGCATGAGACCTTGGGTTCAAAAGTCAAAAGTCAAAAATCATTTATTTCAATTAGACCAGGAAGGAAAAGTGAAGCTATTTGCTCATTCCAAGGTGTAGATTCCTATGGAGAAGAACGAGCAAGAAACTCCATAGGTTACTCTTTTCCAATCAGTTTCACAGTACAATTCTTCAGTTACACAGTTTTATTGGTTTGATTAAAACTAAAATCTAGCCAAAGAGATCGAAAAAGAAAATAACCTTAAAGACAATAAGTACTACAGTCTGGAGCTGACCAGTCACAGTTGACGGCACCCGTTCACGAACATGACACGTACACCAGCACTCCCCAACTCAACCATATTGCAGGGAATCTAGCGATCCAATGCACGTGCCACCGCCAATGAGATCTTTGAGGGAACATGACAACTCCAAGCTGACATAAATGCATTCTACTAGTCCAATTTAATATTTAGTTAATTACAGGGCTCTCACATTAACAATGATTCTGCAAGTTAAACAATATACATTTTAACAACTACGTTGTAATATTTAGGTTGGATTTCATTGCCACATCAATGTTTTTCGTTATCCCGTGGACCTGGACCAGCGTGCATCCAAGCAATTTTTATCTTCTAAATAAACATTAAGTTTGTAATATGCTTGTCTACATAAAGTTTTTTATACATAATTTAAACTTCGTTTCATTTAGGTGTTGTATTTTCATTAGGTTCGATATACTGATTTGAATCCGTAAGATTATCAATGGAAGACTTAACGGGTTACCGGGGCTTCGGCTCGAAGTGCAAGAGTAGGAACGAGGTGGTTTTTAGTCAGTAAGAGTCTGACACTCCCTCTCGCCTCACCTGGGCGTGAGAAGTTATTGGATGACTTTCCCAAAAAAAAAACATTATCAATGTGAAAAAAATCTCAGTTATCACAGACAGAAAGTCGGAAATATTTATTCTAAAATAATAGGGTCGCTTTTACTAGAAGTCTCAAACCTATGATTGAATGAAAATGATAAAAAAAATATAGACAGCACAAAACGTCTTACCCCTTAACTCACAAATACTGACCAACCGGTTGTTTATCTATACTATACTACCAAAATACAAAAAAAAAACACATCATAAAAAGGTCTCTGACCGCAATAACAACTGTCAACGTATGACAAATGACTATCAACCAAATTGCATGTCCCGTTCCAAGAACTAATGGTTTGTTTCAAATATTCTCAAGAATTAGTAACAAAAGGTTTTGTTTATTATCATTATTATTATTATTTCCCAAAGGTCTTTCACCGTTGGGCTAAATCGTTCATGTCCGGCTTGACATATAAGTACTTGGAATGGAATAGAATAGTTCTGCCTTAGGTATCGTGCTTACTGTTGCACCGTTGTGAACATTAGCACGTTGGTGTATTTATTTCTCGTTTGGATCTTTTTGTCATGTTCATTTTTAACATTTAATTCTTGTGTAGGAAATGTGTATGACTGTTTAACAATGCTGTGAACCAACTCCGTATTGTCCTATTGCGTATTTATGCCTTACTATTAGTGAACCAATAATAGAAAGGTAATATTTGAATTACAAAAAACATACAATAATGTCTAAAAAATCCCCTCGATAAAAAGTCAAATAAAGGAATAAACAATAAGTATTAGTAGTTTATATAAAATAACAGCCAAATTCTCAATGAACTCGCATATATAAGCTTAACAACTTTTAAAAAGAGGTACTCTTTAGATAACCCAGTTAGAAAAAGCACATCACCTTCAAGTCACCAATCATTTGATCGGAAACCGCAAATCAACTAGATGGATACAAAAACCGATCGATTACCTACAAATGAAACAAGTGCCGATCAAAATAACAATGTGATAACGGACACGTCAATTAAAGTAACGTTTTTGACCACAGACAGTTTCGATGGTAAAAAATTACCACTATTCGCATGTATAGGTACTTTTATGGAATAACTGGTTGGTGGATAACCCTATCGATTTAGTATTGTAGAAAAACATTTAAAAATTCGTAATGGTAGGGCCAGGTTTGATACCTAATGCAAAACACGATTGCATAATGATCTTCAGTGCTTTCAAGATCTTCCTATGGAACAATTTTCTTCGGTACCTACCAGCCATGCTATTGTGCTAGAACTTAAAAGTTTCAAACACATATTTCATAGAGCTCCAGCATCACCCACCCGGCCCACTATCAGAGGACAAACATAAGGAGTACTTTTAGTTAGGACCAAAAAAGTTGCAAGGAAATGAGTAGGTATATCCTAATAAAGTATCACGTTAACAGGCCTATAAACATTCACAACAGTATGAATCATCCAATTACGGTTTTTATTACTATCTCAATAGAAATCAATATTTCGACTAAACACCGCTAAGTACTCTCATAATATCAGTAACTGGCCAATTTTAACGGAATATTAAAAAAAAGGTAACGCAACGGTGTGAGTGAGCCAAAAAAGCTCATTTCGCCACAAAACAAGCAAGCGGACGTGAGACGAGATCATCGTTCGACGCGAGGTCTTATAACTGTACTTTAATCATTCCAGCCTCCCGGCGTTATGTAACAGCTAGTCCAATGGCGCTTGGCTGAACCACTACACGCGCCTGGATCAGACCGCGAATTAAAAAAAAACAAGGATTTTTAATCTGTCGCCGACAAGCTGTCAAATTTTGGCGGGAGTGCTGTTATTATCTGTGATTTTATTTTGCAAAAGGATTTGAATTTGGGCTGTGGATTATGGAAGTTTTGAGGTTGGTTGATGTTTATATTTTACTGACTGCCCGCCCCGGTTACGCGCAGGTACCGGCTTTTCCGGTGCATTCGTAATTTTCTTACGGACGAACCATTTTCTGACAGTAATCGTGTTCGTACACGATAAAACAAACAATATTTAGAACATTTCAAGAATTATATTTGATTTTTGTTTTTTTAATAAATAGACAATTAAGATACCAAACTCTTTTAAAATCAAATTACTACTAATAAAAAAATACTGGATGAAAAGTCGTTGCAAGTTGCAACACTGACAAACATTTGGTAGCACACTCAACTTAACAAAAAAGTCAAAAACAACTTTAATTGAAAATCTTAAAAAGTAAAACCTGGAAAAACATGTTTTCTGGCGACCAGGTGCTTACCAGGAGACAAGTACACATTACTCTATTATCATACTGACTAGTTTTAATCAGGTTATATATAACCTGGTCCAAGTCCTTTTGTTTTATTATTAATTAATGGCCTGTAGACTATTCATATATTTTTTCAATTCCCAATATAGATCGCGTTTATAAATATAGGTAAACATCTGAATGGAAAAATATACTGGTCTATATGCAAATGATTATTGCATGAGTGTAACTTATAATAGAATCCTGGGAACCAAGGGAATATGGGATAGATTGACGTTTTCTAATTAGTTATAGTGAATAGAAAAAGTATATATAGATCAAATTAGAGGTAGATAAATAAAATGGTGGCTTTTGTGTTAGGGCTTGATTTCATAGGATTTATTCTCTTTTATCATATTTAATATTAAATAAGGATTTAATCCATAATAAATAAGGATTTAATATAATCCTATTTATTATGGACGATAGATATGTGCATTATTTCAAATTTTCGCTAGTCGAAGGCTTGTCGAAAAGAGAGCCGAAATTTGATTATCAAGTCAGGAAAAGGCGTAATCTTTGATTATTGCGTTTATTTAATTCAAAAACAAAAATTTTACTTTAGCCAAGAATTATACTCAAAATAACCTGAATGCTGTTATTTGCACACTATAACCATCCAATCTAATTAATTCAATCCCATTCGTTACTTCGTAATAGAATCTGCAAATTAAATTGTTGAACAAAAAACTAACCAATTCACACAACAATTGCCACGGGACTTTCAACTCTATTACTTATCTTATAAGTGTTACCATTCCACTCAGCAGTAGACACTATTTTTTGCTGACAATCTGTCTTATTGTAATACAGTAGGTAATGGATCGATAAGTCACTGGTGTCACGAATACCGTGGTGTTACTGTGATGATACTGTGATTATATCACACTGTATTACGACTGTGTCTGATAGGTTAGTTATAATTTGATTTAATCTAATTATACAGTTAGAAATGAGTGATTTCATTGATCTAATAAAGTTATTGAATAGCCATTTGGTGTATATAAGCGTCCTGTCTGAATTTAAAGATTTCTGTCGACTCAGGTTCTGTCTACACCGTGTTTATTTCGTTTTCGTCGCGCGGCTTCGCTTTAGTACTTTCGACTTTCGATGTATAAAATAAAAACAAAAAAATACAGGTGTCAATTTTTATACTTTAAAAATAATATTCATCGACTTACGCACATGAGACCCCAGATGTTTTGTAGGCACTATTCGTTACTTCGTTCTTTACAATCTCTGAATCCCAAACCATCTTCAAATTTCTAATCGTCAAAGGGCTGATAACACACTTACAACGCCTTTGGTGTTCCGAGTATCCATGGGGGCCGCCGATTGCTTACCATCAGGTGATCTGTCAGCTCGTTTACCGACTGATCCCATAAAACAACCTTCCATGTTTATCAGAGTACCAATGTGCATGCAGATATGTCGGAAACAAGTTATTTTATATAATGAAAACGCACAATACTCACTTTCCTGTTTCCCCGTGACACGGAACTATAGCTTATGTAAGTTGTAATCAGTTGAAACTTGAAAGTAGATCGATGACAAACACACGGATATACCGAAGTATAGATATTAAGTTGTAGGAAATTACTGAATAGAAGATCTAGTAGTATAAACGCAAATCCAAAGCGTGTAGTCGTAGGATCATTTGCCAGAAAGGTCGGTGGATATTTTAGGAAAGTGCTTTCAGCTTCTGAATGTCTAAATATTCAATGGGGGTAGCCACATGATTAAAAACACAACCTTAATTTGTTCCTCTCAGTTTAAAAGTGGAAAAGTGAAAATCATACAATTTAAACTAAATAGCGATTAGTCTGGTGTTTATAATCACCTGACTTAGCACAGATTACCAAAAATATTTGCAAATCATGGCTACTAGAAAGACTTTCAGTAGTACCTAAAACGACATTAAAAACCAGTCAATAATGATAATAATCATTACTAATAAAATCATTCAATTGACTTTTTATTAAATGGCAAATGTTTAGCAATCCCATTTTTACGATGAAGTAAACTCTTGACAATAAAACCGGTGAGGCAACGGCTGAAGCTTCGCAAAACATCTCGAACTAATCTTACGACATTTTCAATAAAATGGATTTTTAATGAAATTGAGAAATATTTAATGCGGGCTTTACTTATAATTGGCTGTAATTAGATTCTCTTTTATGACTTGTATTTGTCCGAATGTGAACTGCAATTGAGTCCACCATTTTCAAAGTAAAACCTTCGGATCATTGCTTAAGTTTGTCACCTTAAACTGTGTCGTCATCACCACTTTCAGATCTTAAAAACATACATATTGGCTACTCTTAATGCTAAAGGTACAAATAATTAATTAACTCGAGTTTATTTGGTATTTTTTATCTACCAAAATCACTCAAAGGCAGTCTAGAATACGTTACCTGTACTATGGATGATTGACATCGAGTACGCATTTACCAAAGTCTTTCAAACGGTTATTTCGAGCTCACCTATCACGCCTGGAGATTATAGTATTTATTGTGTCGCGGAGAACCTAACGGGTAAACGGGGCTCCGACTCGACGTGCAGGAGAAGGAACGGGGTGGTTTTTAGTCAGTAAGAGTCTGACACTCCCTCCCGCCTCACCCAGGCGGGAGCAGTCATTCGATGATTTTCCTCCCTTAAAAAAAAAAGTATTTATGTAGAGAAAGCTCATAGATCTCTAGTAACCTAAGATGGACTGTTAATGCTGAACTACCATATGATTTAGTTAAAGGTGAACCAGTAGATACAAACTCAAGTGTCCAAGCTTTGGGGAAAAGAGAGTAAAGTTCCCTAAGATCGGAAACGGAGAATCCTTTGACCAAGCGAGGTGATCGTGTCTGATGGGCTTTCTGCCCAAGAGTAAATCGTTGGGATTTTCTATCCGTGTTAATTCACATGTACACTTCACATGGACGATGTTGGATTTTGTGACGTCATCTGTTGAATTGTCTTCGTCGATGGTCTATGTACGTGAGCTGTCATTAGTTATTGTTCCGAGGCTGTCATGCTATCATTTGACGTGTGACATGTGTTGCCACAAAGCTAATACAAATAATTTTGAAACAGGGAAACCAGGACCTCATTTTACTTCGTGTAGGTACTTAACCGCAATTGCACTGCGGTTGCAATCATAGAAATTGATTCAACAAGACCCTCACTTATCACATCAAATCATAATGTCCACAATGACAACCTAATCAATGTCCAACGAAGCATACAGCGAATGCATTTTCCCAACAGAAAAGCGTGACAATATAATGCATTGACATTTTATATACCGACCAGTTTACCAATAGTACCTATAACGATGCCAATACCGACAGTAAACATCATTTTCCTTAAACCGAAGAACTGCCTCATTTGTTTAATAACACTATGGAGGTAACATTAGTGCAGAATTAGTCTTAACCCTTGTTAAAGACAGATTAATCCAATTTTCTAGATAATAATTTTCATGATAGTGCCGTAGAACTCTTTCATTAGGCTGGAGGTAATACCATAAAACAGATATACCAGTTTAGTTACGAAGCGGTCCCATATTTTACTAAAACTGTACTGAAACTTGTAAATAATACAAAATTGAAAAGCAGACTGCCTCGGTGGCCGAGTAGTCGCAAATGCGACCGCCGGGCAAAGGGTCTCGGGTTTGATTCCCGGGTAAGGCAAAATATGTCTGGAATCGTGCCCGGTATATGGCAATAGGCTCACCCCCTATTACATGGGACTCATAACATAAATAGTGAAAAGTGGGTATTACATTATACAGTGGCATAATGTGCACCTCTGTCTACCCCTTCGGGGATAAAATGGCGTAATAATGGCGTAGTAATAAATGGTATGATATTATTGAAAAGCAATTCTTCTATCTAACTTCAACATCACAACACAACGAATGTCACTTAGGACATATCAACATTACACGGTCTATAAGTAACAAGAGGTGTAGAGAAAGCACACTTTCCATTTCTGGGTGACGACGTACGACTGACGGGAAAGTAATACGTTAGTGTTGACAATCATGCGTAACCTATGACTATGCGCAATGGCACATAATGTCACCTTGTGTAACATGCTATTTGTCTTAAGATGGACGCACAGTTATGATCTAATAAAATAGGTTAGTTTGTGCTTGACTACGTGTGCAAATATGATGCTTTGGGTATTGTCGTAATGCTGTTCATGTAAGAGAGTGTCGTAGAATAAGAAGAATAAGAATAAGAACGTTTATTTGCACGAAGTATGGTAATTACCTTACAGGTAGTAATAATTATAAAAAATAGTCCCACATACATCGCGTACTGTTTTTGGCATGCAAAGTTAAGTTTTACAATATAATAAAGTTAAAATCTTACATTCAATAAAACCAATTACAAAAATGCTTACAACTAGGATAACATAATTATTCCTCCTAACACATTATTATTACTTTTCTTCTTTATTCACATATTAATTATCATTTTAGTGACTTACTAAATAACAACACACTTAATATTGCACACATTAAACTTTAGTAGTAGTGGTGGTAGCTACCGATGTAATACACATTAATTTAAATTAACTAAAAATTGCGCATGCTGCTCATGAGGAAGAACCCCCGTGGTTCGAAACTAGTAGAGCTTTTCTCAGTACATGTATCTTTAGTTAGTTTATTATGTCTCACGATAGTTATTATAAAAACAATGTGTTGTTTGTTATATGGAAGAAGGACAACTTATTATGAATTTTAAAAATTTGATTTGTACTTGCTTCTTTGTTGTAGTTTTTCGAACTGGTATTGTCGAGTTAGAGATTTGAAATTTGTTTTCTAAATAGGGCCATGAATTCCCAGTCTACATCGTGGAGTTGAAATTGTAGTATGTACTTTTATTAATAACTACTTATTCGTGTAATTATAACGGTCCTTTATTATTTTTCAGATACAAATACATCTTCATAATCATATCACTACTCCTTGGGACCGTCAGCAATGAAGAAACAAAAGCAAACACCGGTGCAACCACACCTAATTGTCCCTTCACAAAGATGATCGAAGATGTATTCAAAATTCAGAACAGGACATCAGACAAAGACTCATACAAGAAAGACAAGGAAAGAGTGAAATTATTTTTGAGTACATTAGCTAACATAACTAACGATAATGTCAGTAGAAAGGATGAAGATCTCATAAACGTTATTATAGCTTCAATAAATAGGATTAAAAATAATATAAGTGATACATCGGATAAACTAAACGAAGCCATCATAGTAACATCTAAAGGAAACAACACAAGCGAAATAAAGAAAGCAAATCAAATCAAAAGTGGTATTGAAGATAAAATTGATACATTTCTTAGTAATGCATCTAAAAAACATACTACAAAAAGTATAGAGAAACATGGTGATGCTAGTACAACAGAAAGCACTAAATATGTGGAGATTTTAACAAAAGATCCTCATACAAAAAACACTACGTCTGCCAACATACTAGAAGTACTAAAGCATTTAATGCCATTATTTAATAGTACATTAACTAAAGAAGTGCATAATATAACTATAATAGAAAGGGACCATAAGAACAATCACTCATTTTCTGCAACAAAAAATGTTTCGACCATCATAGTAACGTATTGTGATAACGATAATAACTCGCCAAAAGACAATAAGACTGTGGTCAACAAGAAAGGTGATGACAAAGCGGAGATTGATCGTGTAGACTTTTATGATGAGGAAGAGGATCTGGAAACAGATGGAGAAGGTGAAGCACATAACATAACAAAGGAAGAAAATAGAGAGATTATGGAAGCAGCTGAGTACGGGATGCAGAAGATGCATGAGTTGTACTCTGTTTTGGAACCTAAGCTGTATTCTATGGGTAAGTTTATAATATAAATTCGCAATTAGTATAATTCCCTGAAGGGTATTGACTTTAAATGTATTTTGTAGACATGTTAAAGTAATATTATGCCTATTGTAATAGAGATCTGATTCAAATCTTATTACATCCAGCTGTTGCTAGATGCAAAGGTTACTAAACTCGATTTTTATGTCATGTCCATGTTTTCAATTCCAATTATTCGATTGTTATAAGAAGTCATGCAGCCTACTGCAGCAATCGAATATCAGAGACATATATCGAATGCTAAAAACAAACTTGACTATACTATATCTACTTACCAGAACACCTTAGAACGAAACATTACACCATACTATCAAAACAAGAAATAATAACCTCTTTAATCTCCTCCTCATCATTTTCCAGGTCTCTGGTTAGACGACTCCAGTCCAGCACGCTACGTGGCAGCATTCAACGCTCCTTCGGAAGAAGCAGCCAAGTTTTCCAGATATGGCTACGCTTCCCTTCAAGCTGCTGCCAAACTGAAACAGCTCATTAGGTTAGTGGTTAACTTGAATATATAATAGTTCTTTCCAGAAGTTTTAGTTCATATCTTTGGAACTCCAACTAAAATCTTCAAATGGAGTATTAAAACAATTGTATAAATATCCATTCTGACAATCCTACCACATATTCTTCAGTATCCAGTTACTTAATGTTATTTTACTCAGTGATCAAACTTCTTTAAGACAAAATCTACAGCAGAAATAATTTATAAAACTTCTTGTCCTACTGTTCCATCTACCTAAGCTATAAAATTATTGTTTTCTTCAACCGCCTCAAAGGATGATCCTGATTTATATTACCAGTATTCTCTAATCCTAGAAGCAAGTGTCACAACTACTACATAATTAAGTTTTACGACGAATTCATCGCTATAAAAAATTCACTTACGAGAACTATTTACTTCAGCATTCCCATTGCGCAACAGTAATCGGATAATCAGGTAGCAATTAAAATGTAACTCGGTTCAAAAAAGGGCAAGTAATTTAATCTACGTGCAATCTTCAAGCTTACCTGGAAATATTTCGAGATCTATCGTAACAAACACACACTCATCAACAGCCTATAAGTGCCCACTACTGAGCAAAGGCACGGAGAAGATTTGATTTATCATCATGTTTATTCAATGCGAGTTGGTGATTACAAACTTATAATTAGATAGTATAATTATGAACGAAGGTTTTCTCACCATGATTTCCTTTATCTATACTAATATTATAAAGAGGAAAGATTTGTACCTATTTTTGTATGTTTGTAATGAATAGGCTCAAAAAGTACTGGGCCGATTTAAAAAAATCTTTCACCAATAGAATGCTACATTCTTCCAATTTGACATAGGCTACATTTCATTTTGAAAAATAAAATTGTCTACCGCGTGCGAAGCCAGGACGGGCTGCTAGTCGTAAATAATCTTAAGAAATACATATAAATCGGAAAAAATAAGATTGCTACTTGTCAAGCTTCGACCCTCGTGTATGAGAAACGGGCGCTTCAACCTTCAGGCCACCACAACTTCGTAACAAACATGTCGATCTAATTACAGAAGGAATTCAAGAGGGCAAGGACCTCTTAGTCTCCTCTCATCCAATTTCAATGGAGTGTCTTCGTTTAATTGAAATCGCGATACGTTGGAATTTTAATTCACACGTTGAGTTGGTGTGAAATTAAAACTCGTTGTGGATTGAAAATTTAAATTTGTAATGAATATACTGTTTGAGGTGTAGGATTGAAATGATAGTGATATGTTTGGCAATACACGCTTGCTTAAATTACAATAGGACAAATGGCATAAGTGATGGAAAATGTACTATTTTAATTGGGTGTTATTCTAACCCACGTAGAGATTCTACAAAAAAAAAGTGGACGGCGTCATTATCCTAAACACAAAGTTAACAATTCTACTGATTAAAACACAAAATTTGGTTTCAAAAAATTGAGCCGTGTCACTGCTCTCGACCAATAAAATCCAATATAAATGCTAATGTTACCGCAATGCTTAACAACGCGGGAGGATAATGGTTTGTTAAGCCAAGGACACACTAGGGGATATACAAAATGTGTCACGACATATGTCAGTGACATGTCAAGCGAAGCCTGCCGATTCCCTGGACATATTATAAGGCATCAACGCGCGCCTTATGTCCACAGCGAAATTGATATTGCCACACATGTCGACCAAAGTCCGGCAACGTCGCGCTACTTCACCCAATGTAGCTGGCAACACATGTCGCAGGACGTTTGTCTCCTATTGTAACCTTGGCTTTATCCTCCCTCGTTGTTTAATAGTTAGTTTTTCGGAGAAACACCCCACCAAGTTCAAGAATGAAAGCGTATCTTGTAAAACTATCGTTAAAAATATTAACTAAAACTAATGACAAGTAATTAATCTTTTGCGTTCAATTCTCTCTACAAGAGATCGATTAAGATAAGGTAATATAATGTAACGAACGGTTTATGGATTCAATTCACTATAATATTTCTATAATTCATCATCGCTAGGCTATATTCGTCCACTGCTGGACATAGGCCTCTCCAATGGCACGCCACTGAGCTCGGTCTTCACCTATTCTTATCCAACCACTACCAGCCACTTTACGTATATCGTCACTCCACCTAGCTGGAGGGCACCCTACACTACGTCTGCCTAGACGCGGTCTTCAATCTAGAACACGTTTACCCCAACGGTTATCGGTTCTTCGACAAATGTGACCGGCCCACTGCCACTTCAGCTTGCTCATCCTTTGGACAATATAGATAATTTTGTATTACGTTTCTAGAATTACCAATCATCATCATCATCATCATCAACAGCCTATAAATTCCCACTGCTGAGCAAATCCTCTTCTCACACGGAGAAGGTTTGAGCATTAATCACCACGCTTGCTCAATGCGGGTTGACGATTACAAACTTATAATTAGAAATTATAAGCCCAGGTTCCCTCACGATGTTTTCCTTCACCGTTTGTCAGTGGTGTCTAGATAATCTTAGAAAGTACATATAACGTAACTATATTATAGTTAGGGCAAGTGCTCTTGGTAGGTTTCGAACCTGTCCCCCCTCATGCATGAGAAGCGGGCGTCTTCAACCTCCGGGCCACCACGACATTTATAGAATTACCAAAGGACAATTTATATCTGAAGTTATAAAAACAGACACCAATAAATACATTTCTCATGTCATGTGTGGGACATACAAACACTACACTATAAAAAATATCATTCCAACAAAACAAAAACATCAAAAAACGGAATTGAAGCACAATAATGACAAGACCACACAGTATCCGTCCTGTATCTGATATTAGAATTCAAATTGCTTCCCATCCACATATAAACCATGAATTACCCTCCCACACCATAAATTACCCCAGTCCACCATACATTACCCTTGGTATTATACCCAAGGATGTCAGTGTTTACGTAATTATCTTCGGTGCATTTTACTCGTCGCAAAGAGAACTGCGCCGACGCAGATCCGCGCAATTTCTTGATCATTCTCAAATGATACGGTCCACAATCTGTGCGTTGAACTTTTCGTAAACTTGTTTTCTACTTTTTTTTCAGATTTCAAAAGTAATTTAAGTTTTTTTGTGTTTTTGGGCAATATCACCGTCATTAATGAATTAAGTGGTGATTGCATTCGACTCAATGATGCAGTTTATAATTTTGAAATGTTTTTATTTTATTAGGTTTAGTTCGGTTTGCCATGGCCTTCTGTTTTGTACATTAAGTTTAATTTTATGTTTATTGTTTTATTATTTAAATTCAACTTCTTTGAAGACTTAATTTCTTCCTTTTGAGATATTATTAATTCTTGAATAGCACATACAACTACTCATAGTTGTACATATCATGATAAACGTTTATCTTGTTATCAGTAGTAGTATGGTAAAAAGCAATACTGTTCCTACAGTCGGGTAAAAAGGGCTAGTAAGATAGAATTAGCTTTAAACCATTTAACATTACCATGCAATAAGTTCGACTTGAAAGAAAAAAAACATAAAAACATAACATCACGCCTTTTATCCCCGAAGGAGTAGGCAGAGGTGCGCATTATATGCATTCTCACTATTTACCTATGTTATGAGTCCCATGTAATAAGGGGTGAGCCCATTATCACAATTCAAGACTCCGTTCTACTACTAAGATTTTTCTTAAAAAATCCAGTAATACTTTGCCCGATCCGCAAATCGAAACCGAGACCCCTTGACCAGCAGTCGCACTTACGACCACTCGACCAACGAGGCAGCAAAAAAAACTATTAAATAAAATTACCTACTCAAATCAGCAAAAAGTTATTGAAGGTGGTCTTTTAAAAAGAACACCCACGTAATTCAATTTAGCGCATTATAAATCATCTAATAGGTCATTATTGAAGAAAAAACAGTAAATCGATTACAGTAACAAACATGTTATAGGAGGTACAAGGCATGACATAGCAAAACGAGGTCTCAAGTCTAATTTGTGTGACGGACTAATTGAGTTTTGAAATTTTCAATGAAATAAAAATGATTCTATAATTATTATACCTACTTAGTATTTGATTATAAGCTTACCACCTACGTGTGGTCGTGTCGTGGTGGTCGAAGGTTTAAGACGCCCGCTTCGCATACATGAGGATACGGGTTCTAAACCTACCAACAGCAAGTACCAATGTGACTTTTTCCGAGTTACATGTACTTTCTAAGATTATTTAGACACCACTGACGAACGGTGAAGGAAAACATCGTGAGGAAACCTGGGCTTATAATTTTTGATTATAAGTTTGAAAACGTCAATCTGCATAGAGCAAGCGTGGTGATTAATGCTTAAACCTTCTCCGAGTGAGAAGAGGCTTTGCTCAGCAGTGGGCACCTAAATATAAGCTGTTAATGATGATGATGAGTTATTACCACCAACATTCATAATTGACGAAATATGAAATTTAAAGAACAATAAAAAGTGACTGCCTCGTTGACCGACTGGTCGCAAGTGCGACTGCCGGGCAAGGGGTCTCGAGTTCGATTCCCGGGTCGGACAAAGTATTACTGGGTTTTTAAAAAATCTCAGTTAATGCACGGTATATGGCAATAGGCTCACCCCCTATTACATGGGACTCATAACATATATAGTGAAAAGTGAATGTTACTTCTGTGTGTATCTCTGCCTACGTAAAAGGCGTGATGTTATGTGTAAAAAGTGATATGAAGGCAATCCATTATTAACCTAACTTGTTATTTTTTAAATCATTTTCAACAACCAATCCAACAACCCTTTATCATAAGACACCCTGTAGTTCCCAAAACAGTATAACAAAAATTTAGTTCATCGAAAGTCGTTCCATCTGTTCTTGAGTTACATAATTATGATATACCTACCTAACATAAGTAAAGTTTATGTTTTCATAATCAAAATGTGTATCATTTATTAATAAGTCCAAATCTCAAATCTCAAGTCTACTTTTCAAAATATACGTTTCAAGGCTAATACTAATGAGCTATGCAAATTATAGCAACC